AAAACACTGATCATTTATTGAACCATATTTAATAATTTCCAATTTAAAGTACTTTCGGAAGTTTAAATTCTGAATGCGAGCGGACTTTCCTTTTAAAAAGGCCATATTGGGATGTTTAGTTAATCGACTGTGTTTCTGTGTCGTCGTTTCTCCCAGGTCAGCAGTCGTCCAGTCAGGACAAACATTCTGCTTTCTCTGTGATCAGGACTGATAGCACATACCCGGCTCTGACCAAGGTTTGCTCCCACATCCAACAAACACCACCCAACAGAAACATTTCTGCAGACACCATCAGTGTACTTCAATGTTCTTCCTGTAAACATCTCCCACTAGCGGGTTCAGCTCTCTTGTCTCTCACATATAATATTTTATCTTCTCCCTTGATTTTGAAGATCTGAATCAAGTCTTGTTTGTTTCTCTCAGAAAATAACTTTTCAGACTGCAGTCGTCAACAAATACAACGACATCGACAAAGACACCGGAATCTTCACCTGCAGAGTTGCTGGTTTTTATTATTTTACCTTCCACGCTGTTTCCAAGGTATCATCTCCACCTTTGTTGTTTCCTATTAATGACCTAAAAAATGTTCTGAATTCTTTAACCAGTTCTCCAACATCTTCATGTATTGGTAGGTGAACATGTGCCTTGGTTTAGTCAGGGAAGGAGCAGAAGAATCTCAAGTTTTCTGTAATTACAACACCAAGAACTCTGAACAAGTAAGTGTACCAGTTTCATATCAACTGCTTCATACATGAGATAAAGACCATTTGGTATAGGGGAAGATTTTCACAAATTTTTGAAAAGACCCGCCCTCTCCACTTAAAAAAAAAAAAAGCATAACCTTGTACCCGCTTCGGTGAGGGAATGCCTATTAAACACGTGCGAGAGCGTGCACAAGGAGCAATGGGCTCGTGCACGCTCTGTTTAAAAGCCGTTTGCATCACTCATATATTTTTAGATTCCAAAGAAGATTTGCAATTTTTCCGCCGTGTCAGACTCACCACTGGTAAGTGAAAATGGAGCAAGCACGTAGGACGGCCTCACGGAAACATATCACCAGAATGATTGACAGTTAGGAGGACCACTTATTTATATGATCCACCCGGAAAAAGAACATCCTCCACTCTACCTTATAGTGGTTAAATTTACTTAATGTAAATTTTGCAATAAAATAAGATGTGACATTTTTTATATAATACAGGTTTCACTACAATTAATGTTTTGATACTATTAATGAATTAATCAATTAGTTATTACAGTTATAAAATTATTAAATACCTTATTTTATTAATAAATTAACATTTTTAAATAATGAATACTTGTATTAATACAATTGTTTATTTTATTGTGCACCGCTAAAACAGGATATGTTCATTTATATACGTACAAAAAGCTGTTTGTTGATTAATATGGGATTTTGTTGCCAT